ACAGCCATGACACAGAGGAGACACTTGTCAGGGCGACCGATCCGCAACGAAGATGGATCTCTAATCGAGAGCGCATCAGAGATCTTCCAATTTTTTTTTAAATTCGCGATTTTCAAATTCACGAATCGCACACTTATAAATGATAGTAATCGGAAAAAAGTTGACAATTATTTTATTATTGGAAGCTGATGAAACGTTGTTTGGTAAGCAATAAATTTCATCGTTTATCGTTTACCAATATGCACGTGTTCCTGCATACATTTGGCTCAACGAGCGCGTCTTCCTGCTAATTGTATGATCGACTTTGTAATTACCATAACAATTATCATAATTAGCGAAACGAACGGGGACTAAAACATGGTTTTCTAGGGCTCCCGCGATTATCCCGTAGGAATTTGGACTTAGACTAGCGCGCTTAAGCTTTCGCCATTAGTTTAATGGCCGTTTAAATACCGGGCTTTAAATAATAGCGCCTAGTAAGCTAAGCGCGCAATAGAGGAGATGTAAACAATGCTTTGTACGTCTTTACAGAGTACCTGTAAATGCACTACGCATATTATGATGCGCTTCGTTTTCACAAGATTAAATGTAATAAATTCTACCATAAAGGACACGCTATGTTGTATTTGCCTCGTGATACTTAATCCGTGAGGAGTTTTATGCATCTAAATCCATAATTATCATATATTCGTGTATCGCAAATAATGGAGTATATAAATAATATCATGTGATATTATTTCAAATTAAAAGGAGAAGAGTTTTACTCGTTATAAAAAATATTAAAACGCAAAATTGTGATAACTAAAATAATTGTATAATGTCATGTACGATAATTAAAATTTGATCTTTGTCACCCAACTGTATCCGTTCATCTCGTGCATGTGCGCAACTTTGTCTGTTCAACATCACTCGAGAATCATAAAGATAATCTATTCCCAACGTTACTGCGTGTAGCGACAAATTTTTTCCCCCTAGCGAACACACTCGACTTTCGATCGCTCGAACGAGATACACGCTACGAGAAGCGCGTTGACCGGTAACCCCCTCCTGACCCCGCGTACAGGATCCAGCGTTCCACCCTGCAAAATTACCCGCACACAAAACCGCGTTCCTCTCCATCGCGTAATAGAATTTACGATGCTGGCACGTACATACACGTCGCGCCCGAACACTCGCGATGCATCAAAAACACCGACGAAGATGTAGTACGCGATAACACGAAGCGGCAATTACTCTTCACTTTCCGCGCGCGGGTCCCCCCCTCGTCGCGCTGCCTCTCTTTCTCTCCTCTCTGTCCTGCCATCCCCCTGTGTGCGTGCCCGACGGCCGATCGATCTAACGGGCGTAACAGACGGAAAATCCGGTGAAAAGCGCGCGCGAGCTCTCACAATGAGCGGCAACACGCACCCGCGCGCGAGCGCACACGGACGCGATGCAGACGTCATTGTTCCGGCCGGGTCTTTTGTCAGTGAACGAATTACTGTTGCTGTTTAGAACCCTCTCTCATTTGCTCCGTTCTCATCCCCTAGCCATCACCGATGCGCGTTTTCTCCCTCGCAGCATCACCGCGACCACCGGATCCTCTTCTATCAGCATCTCGCCCCATCTCGCTATCACCCCGATCCACGTTGATATAATCGCGGCGGTCTTTTCACAACGGTCTACTTCGACATTGATAATCTCATCGTAATTACCGTTTGTTTCACGCGTCGTTAATTAGTCGATGACTCGGCCAAATTGTGCGGGCCGGCATCTCTCCAATGATTTTTAATCTAGCAATTCTTTCCTACACATTGGTGATATTGATTTTAATTATTGCAATTGTAAACGTTTGTACTTAATTAATTCATTTAATTTCTTCTTTGTCAACTTTATATTAATCATATCTTTGTGATTGTATACAAATTGATATCACTATCTTATTGATTACATTTTTTCTCTCATCAGAGAGCATCTAAGCTTTTACAAAGAGGACGCAACATTTGGCACTTTTATTCTATTCACTTGAGAAAAGAAACATCAAATTTGCGCGTCATGCGCGAATGAATGAACGCAATCCGTTTCATCGAGTTATGAGATTTCCGAGATACTTTCACGTAATCGAAAATTTTAGAGGTCGCTCATTCGCGCGTAGAATCATAAATTCGCACGTATTCGCGCGATGTAGCAATAAATTTCGCTATTCGGCAGGAAACTGGTTGTACGAGGCAGCGTAATTTCACGCGTACGACACGCGCGTAATTCACAAGCATATCTATGACAGCAACGAAGGTAAGTAATGCAAACGCGCGCTCATTCGCGCGCTCTTTATTAGAGACCTTTTGCGCACAACAGCCTTTACAAGATCCCAAAGTCCTCTCCGTTCGTGCTGTGCGCACTAGCACGAAACGCGCTCCTGGTCCCTATTTTTCGCGACGGTTACGTCACGACGATAATTTCCGCAGGCGGAAATAAGTTTTACGCTTCACGCTTCCGCGCGACGCTGGCGTTTGCAAACGCGAGGCACTCGTCCCTTTTAGCGGTCGCACTTTTTTATATCCTTTGCATTTAAAATATATATTCATGCTACGCAGAGAGAAAAAACGGGAAGAACGTAGCGTAGAAACTTGCCATTTTACTCTGCCTTCTCTCCTCTTCTTTATTTTGGGTCATAATTTTATTATATTTGTAATTATATTTCTTATGTCGCTTTTATATATTAGCATCTTATTTCTCTTGTTTGTCTGAAAAAAGGCCGATATAAATATTATATAATTTTTACGTAGTGACACAAGAAATTTCAAATAGAGACTCGAGTCCTAATAATTATTTGGCGGTGAATGTTCGTCGATATATTTCATGAGATTTCGTTTACGGTCGCTATGATGCGACTCGTGACCCCGTGGAACGCGTTGTTCTCCCGGAAGAGATAGAAGGACAACGAGAACATAATTTGGTGCAGGTAACACATAGCTCCGACCAGTATCTATCTGTCAGATAAGACACGTCTCGTTGTATTCGGGTCGGCAATGGATGCAGAATTCGCTCACTTCGTGGAGAGATGGGATTCTATATCTGCCTCTCCATTTCGTCTCCGTTTCTGCGCGCCCTCCGCTTCTCTATCTATCTCCCTCCCTCTGTCGCCTGTCTCAGCCCCTCTTTCACGACCCCAACATTCATCGATATGCGGTTGTTCATGCCGCTGGCGTACAGAGAACGACCCCCTGCTATAAAATCATACGTACATGTCCGATCGGCGCGCGAATATGATTAATTCGCGCACGGAGTTAATTCCCGTCGATAAGCATCGGAAGCGAGCGCCGGCTCACGATTGATTCGTCCGCGCGTTATAAAAATTTGATATCAAACAAGCAAAGGCGTTCTTTTGTCAGACAGCCTTCCCTTTATTTTTCGCGCCTGCGTGCGACACGAATTTCACGCGTGTATATATCTCGGGGAAAAATTTTGCGAAAGCCGCCGCCGCCGAACTCCTTTTATCAGCCTCGATGTACCGTGTAATATTTTACAAATGTCGTTGCGCGCACATGCGACCGATTCGCGTCATAAAAATCGCAGATTGCATCCGCTTCGCCGACGTCTTTTCGCTTAGCCGATGTTGTTTCTACCTTCCGTTCACCATGTTACCCGCGTGGAGAAAAGTTTACGCGTGTGAATTTCTTGGAGAGACTCTCAAGGAGTGTAAAAATGGAAGGCGCGCTGTTTTTATTTCGCAATCAATTTTATTTCAAACGCAAATGTCATGATATCGAAGATTTTGCAAACATTATCGCACGCGCGCGTATCGCGAGCGAGAAATATTGATGCGGATGTAAACTAAAGAAGAGAAAAATTATCAATCTATTGTAAAAAAATAGAGGCTTGGAATGAAGATGCACGCAAAAGATTTTGCGAAATGAAAAGTTGTTGTTGTTATCGGAAATATATTCCGCGTGCAATTTGTGTTATTAATGATAACGCTCACCATCGATCTAGGTATATATCGATCGAAGCCGAAATATGTCATGACTGATAAATATGCAGACTGTCGTTTCTCGGATTAACGTAATCTTCGTACGCAAACGAAAAAGTATTAAACCTTCATTCAGCGTTATATCAAACGCGAGATCTCGGGATTGAAAGAGTATTACACGTTATCCAGATTGTTCGACGGGTATGACTACGTCATCGTGTCAAAAGAGCGGCGTGCGTTTCGAGTGCTATGCATAATAAGAATCGCAACGGCGAATTTCATATTATTAAAATAATGATAACTAATAATGGGATTTCAAAATTGCGTTCATAAGCAATGCAGTCAAATAATTAAATTACAATTAGCACGTCCATTGTATGTCGAATATAATGATTTCTATGTGGACAGCAAAAAGAGAGAAAAGAAACTCCCCTTTAATCTCTTCTCTTTCTCTCTCTCTCTCTCTCTTTGTCTATCTGTCGATATTATCAACACGTCGAGCAGTCTGTGTGCATCCACATGCCTAATCGAGGAATAACTGGAAATAATTAATTTTAGCTCATGAAGTTAATCCTTCAATGGCATTACACAATCAGAAATATTCCGTACACATGTCATTTAAAAGTAGATATTAAATTATTATAATATTTTATATAATGGTTTTAATCGCTTTTAATAATTATTATTTTGATGTCATCATTTTTTAATATAATTATTGTGTAATGTTCCTGTTTCTTGTAAAAAAGTATCAATAATCTGTGATTCATTAATTATAAGAAATAATAATAAAAGCGCCTACTTTTTTCGTGCGATATAATGAAGTGTGTATCGTTTATTTTCGGAATCCAAAGCTAAGCGTTATAACATTTCCCTGACGCAATTTCAAACTGTCGGTCTTTTCGAGCAGTAGGCAAATAACATTGGCATCAGAGAAATATCGTTTCCGATTTTTCCTTGTCCTATACACGGTGTTCTATTTAACTGTTCTATAAAGACAAAACAGAGGGCATATTAACCGCGCTATTTTGTCCGATGATATCGCGCGAATTACCTGAAGGGAAAATCGATACAGATAATCCGGCGAGTACTGCTGCTGCGAGTACTGATGATGCTGAGTCTGGTACTGATGGTGATGTCCATAATACGATTGTTGCTGCTGATACGGCTGTTGCTGCAGGTGCTGATGCTGCTGTTGTTGGCGTGGATGATGATGGTCATGGTGATGCTGTTGACGATGGTACCAGCCGTTATTGTATCCATCCATGTCATGTACCGGAATCACGCTTTGCCGGCTCGAACGCGTCCGCGATGTGACGCGAAAAACGAAACGGCACACACACAAATGGAAAATATATTAATCATCTATCGATAGAGCGCGATCATTCGTTCCTCGAGAGCGTTATCGGGCGGCATCCGCGGCATTTCCACGCGGAATCCGCGATGCCTCTCGGTATTATAGCAATAAAGCACGATAGCGATTCTAATAATGATCGGAGAACGTAGATTCGCGAAATAGATCGGATTTTTCGACGATTAAACGTTATTCCGAAAGATATTAAGTATCATTAATCATCTCGGTATCTTGAGCGGTCGATTCGTCCAAATTGGAACGGAAGATAAAATCTCATTAGCGATTCTTTGAATCTTCAAACGCCTCGATTGCGGCTCGTAAGATCGAGGCCTCTGCCAAGATCACGACGATCAAGCTCTTGATGATGCCTTGCACTTCCGGCGCGATTAGATTCGCAATAGCTGATGACGACAGGCCAACTAACTCGCGACGAGAAATTCACGAAATCGCGACGAGAAAGCCGCTGGTGGTCTTCCTCCCCACTCCTTCATGTTCGACGTGGCATTTTATTATTCCTCTTTTACGTGCCCTCGTATCCCCAATCCTCCTATACTTGCTCGCGTAGGACCGGTCGGGCCCGCGAGTTTTTGTTCTCGCAGGGGGTCGTTGGGAAAAGCCGACGCGCATCAGGAAGAAAAGGGGTTACCGACACACTATTCTCGGATAGGTCGGGGAATTCCTTTCGCGCCTGAAAACCTGCCGGTACTTCCTTTTCCTGATATGGCGCGGCTCATCCTCCCCGCTCGCGGAATTATGCATGCTGAATTGAATCCTTGAAAAACGGGGGACGTGGCTCCAGGATTGAATCGGGCTGTCAGCCCGATTCGGGGTAACTTTTAAATCGCCAGGGCAACGACCAGCCGTAGCTATCGCGAATTTATAAGAGCATAAGAAAGAATGCAGGAAATTGAATTTAGAATAATTAAATGATCGTAAAACATCCATCAGTTGATGTGAAATTTTCGCGATTAAGTATTAATAACATTTAAGAAAGAAATGCGAAACGAATTTTTTCAATAAATTATTATGATAATATTAGCTTGTAAATATCGCTTACAGAAAGAATCGTATATATCAAGAAATAAAACAAGTTTTTTTATGTTCACTATTGTAAGCAGAAATTTTATTTTATACTTGTATAATTTTTCTATAAAATTTGTGTGAATAGTGCAACATTCAAAATGTAAATTTTATTTAATTATTAAAAATATCCCACACGAAACTAAATGAATCATACAGAATAGAAAGTAAACTGTTATTAGAACCGGAATACACTAAAAGAGAAAGAAAAATCGACATTGTTATTTGTTCTTAGACATCTACTGAACGTTACGTATGCAACAATGTCTTCTATTGATGTTTTTACTTTCTTTCCGTTCTCTACCCTACAATCTTCTTGGTTCATGTGTAAACAGGTTATTCAGGGATAGTAATCGGGGATGGTGTCTCATGGGGGTCGCTATTGGAAAGAGTTGAAGAGAGGGTAGTATAGGAATAGCGGATTCCGGACTAGTAGATCTCACTCACTTCGTCAAGTTCAAAAGAATAAATCGAATAACGTCTGGAAATATTTGCAATTGCAAGAACGAGTTGCAAGATTCATCAAATTTTAAAGAAACAAAAAAAAGTGGGAAAAAATAAAATGCGTATTCTATCTCTGAATTAAATATTATTTTTGAAAATGATAGGAATAAGTAATATCAAACATCTATGTGTTTAATAAATCTTAAAAAAAAGAACAATATAAGCTAGTTAAATTTATATTATCAGTTTTATATTGTCGGCTTGCTAAAGGTTGGAAATTATATTGAATGCCAATTGAAAAACGTAGCAGTAGAAATATATATATATATATATATATATATATATATATATATATATTTATTTATTCAACAATTTAATTTAAAAAGTATTAATTAATCATCGGAAACTCTTCTGCAATTGAGACTTTTTTTAGATAATATTGCTAAGCTAACAAAAAACATGCAGAATCGTAATAACTTCAAAGTATTTTAATTTTACATGAGACGTACGCGCGAACGAGCTATTGAAAAACATTCCTATCAAAGGATGCGATAATCGAACGATATTCAAGAAGCTGACGTCAGCATTCCCGATCTAGTTCCTTACAATCGGCTGATTTCTACATCATGAAAGACGTACAGGAAAACTCGCGTTTGAAAATAGGGGTAGCAGTTGAATAGGCTTTGCCGCCCCTCAAGGAGAAGGTGCAAGCCACGTATGTGCGCTCAAGAAGATGGAACGAAAAAAATTCAATGCTTTCGCTCGGGAAAATCGCGAGCGAGCGAGCGAACCTCGAGCTCGGGAGAAATTGAAAATTGTCAAGTGCGACTCTCGCGCTTTCCATCGTATCCTAAAGAGTATTCACGAGCGTATTTCTTGCGGCAAAACCAGTTAAAATGGACGAAGGAAACAGTTGGAGTAATGAAACGAGTTATATGAAAGAGAAATGTGCATATGAAATAATCATAACAAAGCGCATAATCAAAATGATAAATATTGTTTGACATTAATAATAATATAATTATTATTTACGAACGATATTTTTTGTGAATCATTTTATTCTCTTTAAACTATTTTTAGACGTAATATAGATATATCAACGAAATAATTGTTGCTCCTTTCATTACATTATTTTGTAAAGTGTAATATATAAAAATAAATAAAAAATATATATAACATATACATAATTATTTAGTGACTAAAACTGATTTTCAATGACTAGAAATTTCGAAAATCAAATTTAGAATAGTAACTATAACGCAACGACAGTTCAATTATTTAGATTTATATATCTGAATTATCTCATAATAATATCTTTCAAAATTTAGAAATATTAAGTAATTTAGAAATATTAAGAAACATTAAGACAAAGAAACACAATCTCCCGTGAATTAAAGCATCGTGATGGCTATTTTTATCTAGCATCAATTAAATGCCTCGCCCATTCTCAAACCATGACGTTCGTCGACACGTAAACAAAAAAAAACGCCTACGGCTATGTACAGTCGTAATTTCTCGGTGCTCTTTGTGCAACGTGACGTCATTAGCCCTGAATCATTGTGGTTTCCTTTCTCTCACTTGCTCTCTCTCTCGCGCGCGTATTTGTTTTTTCCCTATAAACTCCACCACCAGCGTACAATTTTCCTCACTTTTCCGTTAGCTAATTAAGGCCGTACAGACTATGTTTGCTGCGGTTTCGATCTTGCATGAACTTTCATAGACGCCACTAGTCAATTTCTCTCGCTACCAAGCTTTTTCGTTTGATCGCTGACGCTGATATGAAAGTTAACGATACGCAAACTATCGGAACTACTCGGGGATGACTTCCTAGTAATACAAGAAACTGCAAATATTAAATCAAATATTGATATATTTAAAAAATATATGAAATTTTTATATTAAAGTACGTCGACACAATTTTATCTATAAAATGACAATAGTTCAATAATCGAATATAGATATTTATAACTTTTCTTCATGATTTGTTTATATTTCACACACGTATGTTTTCTTTCAAAAATTTGCAAATATACGCTAGAACAATACTAGAATTTTAATTTTGTCAATGAATAAAAATATTCATTTGTTTCATTCAACGCACATACATATTTATTCCATTCTTAATTTTATTCTGAATGTCTAATAATAATTGTATAATCATAGATGTTATTAATGTTTTCAATGTCTGCTGAAATTGTGATTTATATTAAATCAATATCACAATTACTGACGTTAAATTTATCACGATATAGAACGCATGCATTTTTCTCTTGCTTTCTTAATAAAATTTTCATAGCGAATCAACAAACTTAACGAGTTTGCGGTCAATCATGGAAAGGTGTATTTGGGTGGAAATAACAAAATTGCATTTACGCGTAACAGAAACACGCGTTTTCGGTGCGAGATTGAAAAATTGCTTCGTCGAGAAAACAAGCGCGCTTTTTTTTTGCGCGCGCGGCAAATGCACAAACTATCAAAATTAAACCGACCAAAAATGTCAAACGCGGGTTCACAGTGTACCTTAATGCGCGTTGCACGCGATAATCCGAGGGCGTTACGGTCCGCTTCGCGATACGCGTCAATACGCGTAGGAAGCGGGCGTGCAGATTAAAGGGACCTTTGTGCGATCGGCTTGTGTGCGCGCCTACATGAATTCGAAATGGAGATAATTACGTGCGCGAGTTTGTAACGAGTCCATAAAGCGCGGCGGGCCGTAGAATTGGTCGAACTTATTGATCGAGCGTGCGCGCGCTCGCTTTTTATCCCTCTTCTCGCCCCCTTCCTCCCGCCGGCTCGTTCGACGTTAATTCCACTTTGAATAAATATGAATTCGCGCGCGCGGGTTTGCGATAACCCCGGGATTTTCTTTTTATTTCCTCGTCGCCTCTTCGACTCGCGCGCGAGCGCGAGAGAACGCAATTAACCGCCGACAATTCCGCGAGATCGCTCTTGTTATGTAAAGAGCGCGTACTCGCGTCTCTCTCGCGGACACGATTCGCATAATCACGATATCGAGTAGTCGCGAGGAAACCTCGACAGGTGACACGGTTTTGTATTGCTAATTTATTCTCGTGATTCTTTGAGTTTAATTTTTTTCCTTGTAAAGTATTTATGCGGTGATCGCGGATCCCTTATAAATATAAATGTATCGTTTGCGTCAAACGAGATCTCATAGAACATTGTTTTTACATATGTAAATAATTATATGAATTTATTTAATGCAGTTAAACCACTAACATATGTTGAATCAACTGATTAATTTGTACAGTTATCTCTTTATTTTTCTCCATTCGTCTAACGCATTGTTTTCACAAATACGCGCGAATCCCAAATATTATAAATAAAATAAA